TGTTTCAGTGTGGCTTTAGCTTAGTAGCTTTAGGAAGCATGCATTTAGGAATCAAGTTAGTTCATGGCTTCAGAAATTTTGGTTGAGTAAATGATTCAATTAAAAATCAATATGTGAATGACATTGGTTTGTGTATAAGATCTACAGTGGTTTGTTACTATTTTAGGTTCCTGATTATAGTACTTTTTTTTTATAGGTAATTGTAAGAAATAAAGTCATATCAGCTAAAAGACTTTACCTCAATGAAAAAGGCTGGAGTAAATATGTTAAATATTTCATCATAATGCTGTCAGCCAAGGTACATTTCAGTTCACCTCAGTTATGGGCAAAGAGACTCTGGCTGTTGAATGTTGAGGCTATCAGATGTTTTGACTAGATTTATGGATTTAAAAATATAATTTTGTATTTTAGTGTAAGTAGAATTAAAGCCTAAGAAAAATAAAATATTTCTTTTATCTGTCTTATATCATAACCCAATTTATCTAAGACTAATAACATTGCAATTATTGCAGAATCACCATTCTATTTATTAATGCTTAAAGTAAAAAGAAATAACATGTAAGTAGCCATGTCTGTTGGATTACTTGCATTAGTGATACATTCTACTGAGTCAAGCTGTGTGCTATGGTTATTTTATTGCACTCTTCTAGTGATCTGTATGATGTGTATTATGATCTTTATTTTATGGATAATAAAAACTAGTTTCAAATAAATTAAATATATTCTCAATAACATTAGAGAGCCAGTCAATGACCTAGGATCCACACCTGGGTCTGTGTGATTTCACAGTTCCTGCTTTTGCCATGGTCCTACCATAAATGACCTACTGGAAAATTGGCTTCAGGTTGCAAAGAGAGACAAAAATGCTTTTGTGCCATTAACAATTCATTATCAAAGGAACTGTGTGATGGTGTCACTGATATTTTGAAAGAGAAATCCTATTTTTGGTATTTTGATTAATTTTATTTGGAAATCTCCCATATTACAATACTTCAGTATAACTAGTGTCTGGTGCATGTCAACAATTATTTAACCACATGAATAAATGAGTTCCCTGCATTTTATCTAGGATACTTCAGATCTTGCACTGTTGCAGAAGTTAACACAGAAATGGAGAAACTTACTGACTAAATTTAAAAAGGAGGTAGAAGAAAGTGAAGAAGACACAAAGGAGACATTACAAATTGTTAAGAATGGCCTTATCAGATGGGAGCAAGTCATCAAAAATAAATAGTGGGTCTTCAAGAAATTGCTTTATAAATTATACTATGATGTCTTTTAAAAAATATTTTATTGGGGGCTCATACAACTTTTATCACAATCCATACATACATCCATTGTGTCAA